AAACGGACTGCGTAATTACTCCCCTCAATGTGGTTGTCGAGTAACAGCAGTGACGAGTTCACACCAAGAGAAAACCTCTGGAATTGAATGGCGTGGCCAGACGTCATCACAAGCGTACTGCCCGCCACCAGTATCTGGGAGCTCGCGCCAAAATCACCTTTAAGCTCCAAATCACCGGTATCCAGCATCGAGGATGTCACGTTCACGTGCACGCGCGCACCACTCCCCTTGATCAACAGGCCTATGAGGACGCACTGCAGCAGCGTGATGTTGAGTGTCTGTTGTGGCGCGTCAAAATGCGACAGGTCCAGCACGATCGCGGCGGTGAAGGTCACGCTGACGAAGCACAGACCACGCACACCGGGATCAGGATAGTCCACGGAGCTGATGCTGCCACCGTGCACGCAGCGGACCTCCGTGTCGTCCGCATCGGGGAGCGGAAGCGGTCCAAGGCCGTCCGGAACCACAGCCGGCAGACACGTGTCACCGTAGCCGCCAGCAGCGCACACACACTCACAGCCGCTGATGCTGCTTGTCCTCGCTGCAAAGCACACGGCGTCCACCGTGCACGCACCACAGTCCAGCACCGTCACGGGCGTCCCAATATTGAGGTCTTCTCCGTAATCCGTCACAAGAGAGCCCCTTGCCTCGTTGCACATGCCGTAGATGGTCGGGCGCGCGTCGGATGGTGGTGACCAGTTGCTGGTCATATTTACGATGGTTGACGAGTACAAGCCGTAGTTGAAGTTGTTGTAAAGTATCGACCACACACTCCGATCGCGGAACGCCACACCGTTCTCCTTGACCACGTACACAACGTAGGCGGTGCGGAACTCGTTGTTGCGGTGCACCAGCCAGCTGCCACCAGCCACGGTCAGCGTGTTTGCAATGAGCATGGCGAAGCCGAGACGGAAAGTGCTGGACACAATCTGCAGCACGCTGCCGCCAGCCACTACAACGTCCCCAAACTCACACGCCCCTTTGAAGATGTTAATGCTCGACACACTCCACGAGCTGTTCTGTATGGAGAACACGGAGCCGCCGCTCACACGCAGGTCCGAAGTAAGAGCGTACATCACGTGCGTCCGCGAAATGACAACGCAGTTGTCCATGTAGAATACGCTGGACAGGTTCACGCCGAGACCGCGCTCCACGAGGATCGCAGCGCACGAACCCCCGCCACACACCAGCATCAACCGCGTCATGACAAACCGCGTCGACAGAAGCCGGACGCCATCCAGGACAAGCGCGGGGCCGTACCGGGATCCCGCGTGGCCAGGTGTCGTCGGCACGTACTGCGACCCGCCAACCGTCGCACGCAGCGTCGAGTTCGCCAGCAGCACACTCGAGTTCGGCGGCATCGCGCCATGCAGCACAATCGTGCCCTCCAGCGACGTCAAATTCGTCATGTTGACGAGGGCGTACGGCATCAGGCACGCCTTGCTCTCGCTGAGGCCGCCAATCCGCAGCTGCGCACCGCCCACAAGCACGCAGTGGCGCAGCGTCACGTTCAGAGCGTCAGCGAACGAGTCCATCGAGCGCAGGTCCACCGCCACAGTGATCGGCCCGCTGAACACCACCGAGTCGAAGCACGCCGTCGCACGCCCGCCGCCAACCGTCACCGACTCCGTCAGCGTCACGCCACTCACGCAGCCCGGCGCACTGCCACCACCGCCGCCGGCCCTCGCAGGTGGCACGTCGAACGGCAGGCATGCCTCGCCCAGACCGCCAGCATGGCAGCCGCACACGCAGTCAGAGAACGACGCAGTCAGCGCATCAAAGCACGCCAGCGCAGCCGCACAGCCGTCGCACGGCACCACGCTCACGGAGGGCAGGCCGGCCATGCGGTAGTCGCCGCTGCTCTCCAGCACCCGGCCGCCGGCACGGTTGCACTGCACCGACACAACGCCGCCCGTGATCGCCAGCCCGGAGACAAGCGTCGCGCCAACGGCAGCGCAGCGCGCAATCGACACGGTACCGCCGCTCAGCGTCACCCCCGACAGCGATGCCACCGACGACGCCTCGCCCACCGCCCACACGTCGTGCAGCTCCAGCCACCCGCCGGCACCGACTGTCCCACCGTCGCAGCGCACCAGCGACGACGCAACAGACCCCTCGACGCCCACAAAGCGCAGCACCGAGTCGGACACCGCGAGGCGCTCGCCAAGCACAATGCCGCCGCCGCTGCTCACAACCGAGACGTTCGTCACGGAGAACACCGAGTGGCTCCGCAGACTGAGGCGCGACGAGGACGCCACATGCATCGCGGACGCGGTAAGACCGCCCGACGCCTCCAGCAACACGCCGTCAAACACCACCGCGCTCGACAGCAGATCCACACCGCCGCCAACGTGCACCGCCGACCCGTCCACCTGCAACGACCTCAGCACTGTGTTGCTCACACGCAGCTGCGACTGCAACAGCGACGTCGCGTGCAGCACAAGCGGCGACGCCACCGCGTCCGTCAGCCCGCTCAGTTGGGAGTAGCGCATCGGTCCCGGCGTCACAATCGTCGAGTCACGGACCGTCACGTTCGTGTGTGCCGGCAGGTTGTGCACAAACACAAGCGAGCAGTAGCTCCCGGACAGCCCGCTCACGCTCACCTCCAGGCTCCGGTCACTCGCCGGCTCGCCGCTGTAGCCCCGCACGTAGATCTGCGCACCGCCGTCGCACACGCAGTTCCTCAATTCGATGCGCAGCGCGCCGGGAAGCATCGCCGGCACGTCGAACACCACAGCCACGCCGTTCGTGATGGACACGCCGTCCACAAGCACCGTGTCCACGGCGCGGCCAACCGTGATGGCTCTGTCCACCGTGCCGCCCCGCAGTCGCAGCACCACCGCATGCACCGCGGGCATCCACGCAGCAGCAGCAACCAGCGCCAACGCCACAAGCAGCGCCGCACGCACAGCCGCAATGGCCCTGCGCCGCACACGGTGCCGGCTGCGCGGAAACGCGCCCACCGCAGACCGCATCCATCGACCCAGACAGGTACCAACAGGGCTCTCGTGGTGTGTCGCACTCGACCCGTCAACCATAACTCCTGCCTAGCAAATCCCTTTCTACAGATGGGAAATCCAGATACACTATTCCGATAGATCGATATCCTACTACTGCTGCTAATCCTAATGCTGCAATTAACTCCTAAGACCTTGAAACGATAGTTGTGGTGGTCAATCCAAAGTATCTCTATCTGCTTGATCAGAGGAAAAGAAGGCAGAGACAACAGCAAATAAACACAGTGGCACGCAGAAGCATCCGGTCACAGACAGTCCCCACCAATGCACAGCCACCGACACAAAAAAGCACAGACGCAACCAAGTCAGTGATGTCACCGCCCTCCCACCGCCCACGCAGCTCCACACAGCCACCATTCAAAGTGGCGCTATTTCAGCAAAAAGACACATGACCATTGGCACCGCTCTTGCAACCAAATATTTCTACCACAGAGCAGTCCCGATGCCGTGAAAGACGCAAAAGGGCCAAGACAGACCCGCATGGCGGGGTTGCGACCGGCAGCCATCGAGCGCATCCAAGAACGTGGTGACAAGAAAGAGAAGCAGGAAATTCGCCTTTCGCCAGCAGCAAGGGCGTCGTTTCTCGCTCACGTGGTTCGGCATTGCACAGCAAGCAGCGGCATCATAAGCGCCCAAAGCACACACAAGGACGAATAAAAAGTACGGTGGCAACAGCCAGACACGGGGGACAAGGGTCCACACTATCTTGCGGTCTGTTGACTCATAGACGTCCTGTTTGTAATCATGTCGCTGATGCGCACCGCGCGTGTCTGCAGTGGATTCAGAGGAGGATGAGAGGAGAGTGAGGCGCGGTGCGGTCCTCAGCCATATCGGTTGATTATGACGCCAGTAACGCTACCTCCTCAGATCGCCTGCTGCAAAGACTGTCACCGTCAGCAGCGGTCGGTGCCTTCCTTCTCCACCGTCGCCGTCACGCGCCTCCTCTCACACCAACACAACGGGAGAGCAGCTGCCACACACAACTACCGGCACCGAGTGCGAGAGAAGCAATCAACCACACTGCAATACATACATCTTCTAAGTGTCGCCGTGTGTGTGCCTACGGTCGCGAAAAGAAAAAAAAAAACAAAGCATCCGAGGGCACACACAACCACAGAAAAGTGCCAGACAAAAAGAATACACGGGATGACTGGTGGAACGCAACACTGCACGGCTGCCCACGCCGTGGCAAGCCGCGGGACATATGCTGGAAAGTAAAAAAGAAAAAGGTTAAATCCGTCTTCCATTATGCATTCACTCAAAAACAAAACGAGAAAAAACTGCACGCTGGTGCGTATGTCTCGTCTGCAGATAAAAAATAAATAAATAAGTTGCAATCCTTCCAGTCGTTTAAACCCCCGGTGCCCACACATTATTTACATTCCACTGGGACACTCGGCGTGGTTCCGTGTCCCCATTCCATTGTCTCTTTTATTAGCCGGCGCCGTCGGCGTGGCACACAAAGCCGAGAGTGCCTCTGATTAAACAAACAAACAAGAAACAAGAACACTGAGTAGATCCCGCCGTTGTCGGAGGACCACAACACGGGGGGAAAATAAAAAAACAAACAAACAAAAACCACGCGATGATGGCCCCGGAGGGAGCATGCTTCCACATGGAGGAAGGGACCTGCGCGGCGAAGGGATCGTAAAAACAAAATAGGTAAAAAAAAGCGTGCACAAGAAGTGGCAATTATTCCACAAGGTGCGTGGAGAGACACAAATGCCCCCACCGAAGGCAGGGACCCCGCCGCGTTACGCCCCGTAAAGGGCCGAAAAGCCGCAAAGCCCCAGCAGCTGCTGCTGCTGCGAGACGCCCCCACGCATGGAGCCGTCACCGCCTTTCTTTACCGTTTTTAGTTCACCGACACTCCGTGGGCGGTCGTAAAGAAAGACGTTCTTCACCGTCACGCCGCTGCTCTTTTTATCTTTCTCGTCTTCACCGCCCACAAAGTAAAAGTCCGCGATTTCAGCCTCCCACACCTCAGGTGTCGGTAGCGTCTCCGGGCTCCCCACAATCACACCATCCACGTACACGGAGCCCTTGCCGCCGTCCTACAGCATGATCGCCACCTGGTATTCTTTCCCCGGCCTCCAAGTGCTGCCTGATTTCGTTGTCTCGCCGTTGAACACTGTCTCCCACGTACCGTCCGCGCCGTACGACAGCCCAATGAAGAGCGTGCTGATGGGTTCGGCCAGCACCGCGCCCAGCAAAGTAGTGCTGATCTTCGGAACTTTGTGGACGATCACCGTCGCCACAAGAGTAAAATTGTAATTTACAAAAGTGTGCGGCCCATTGCTCTCCCGATGGTTCACAGGCCATATCGCCCCGGAACCAAAACCCCATGAATCTGAACCCGTCATGGACCTTCACCGCATTCCTCACCGTTGCATTCACAGAATGGTAATCGTCGATCCACGTGTCACCACCGGACGACGTATTGGACAAAACTGCCACCAGACCAGCCGTGGGTGTGGAAGAAGCGGAGAAGGAGGCATCCAACTGTGCCCAAGTCCTCAGGACAGACTTGATCGTCTTCAGCTCCTCAGTCAGGCGGGCAAGTGAAATGGCTCTGCCTTTTTCATTGGCCCTCTCCTTTAAAAGGTGCAACGCACCATCCGAGTACGGCAGGTTGCTGGCGAGATCCCAATTCTTATTATTGTCCACGGCAACCGGCCAAACAGAAAAAGTGCGGTTGTTGTCCGTGACCCAAAGGCAGAGCGCATTGGGTTCACTCGCTTCCAAGGGATGGCTAGCTTTATGGGTGTACAGCATGAGTTTCCTTCCCCCAATGGTCGCGGTGATGAGGGCATCCACACGCAAGCTTACATCCTGATAGTCTCCCGGTTGTGACTTGGTCCACACGCCTGGAAGTGTCCCGATGGCCTCCGTCCACGTTGCCCCCATGTCACACGACTCGTACACCCTCTGGCCATCCTTGCAGTCAACAATCATGAGAAGTGATCCCTCCCACTCGGTGACGCGGGGTGCACCGCATTTCGCAGGGGAAATGTCTTCACAGAGCGTCCAGATACTGCCGTTATCCGTCGAATGCACGATCATGGAGACAGAGTTATCATCTTTATCAACCCCCTCCACAGGAAACACAAGCATGCCATTCCCCATCAGAACACCAGAGCCAGCACCAGAGAAAAAAATAATTGACTGTATCCTCAGTCTGTAGGGTTTCCTTTTTTAACAGCAGTTTGGGATCACCCCATTTGATCATTCCACTCTGCTTGCCGTCCGGAGACTGCGTCGCCTCTCCTACAACCAGTTGAAGATATCCAAGTCACCCGGCACACACTCCGTCGCGTTCTTACAGTGCAGTTTTTGGCTTCCCGCAATTAGAAACACCTTATTGCCCCGCGAAACGCTTTTGGGGCTGGGCACAGTACTCACACTTCCCATTTCATCCATATTACAAAACACGGTGTGTGCCCTCAATGTGCCATTATCGACCTCAGCGGCAAGAGAAGACAAATCCCACAAAGAATTGAGGTACACCGCGACAACATCAGATTCAACAACCTGTATTTTTTTGCCACTGGAGGAATCGAGTGGCACAAAAGCTTCAGCAATCACAGCCATCACTCCACCAGCATTGACAATAGAGGATGAGCCAAACAAATCCTCACTCCACCTTCAGACCCTTTTTTTCCCCGGCACCTGCGTCTTCTTCGGCACAAAAACATCGATTCACTGCGGCAGCTGCACATCCCCTGACTTACCCTCCACAGCGGCCGCAGCTCCACTGCCACAGCACATCATCACGACGAGGAGGAGTAGCGGCACCGCAGAAGTAAACACACGTCGCGACGTGTTGCGCCTCGGCGGCTCACTCTCTCTTCCCTCCCTCCTCCTTCCGCTGGATCCGGTCACGCGGCGACGGTTGTGTGTGCGGGGTGCCATCACAGCAGCAACACGTGAGAGCATATAAATATGTGTGTGTGGGCGGTGTGTGTGGTGTTAGTCCTTTCAAAGCCTTCGAGTTTCACAGTAGCGATTCGCGTTTGGTATTAACTTCCTTTCTCCATGTAATTTTGCGTGGAATAAAAAAAAAAAGAAATGAAATGAATACACAAAGTAATAAACGCCGTCACCATTCAATGTGGGCCACATATTTGCCAACGTGTTTCTTTCTCTACTCCCCACGGCTCAAACACGGTGTAGCTGCAAAAATGGGAGCACAATTGCATTTGTACATTTATGGGGCAAGACGCCCCCTCCTGTACGCAGCATCGACCCCCCCCCCCCCTCCCCACACACACAGACACAGGTGGCAGGAAGATAATAAGCACAATAAAAAACCAGGCGCTTCAAACCAACAACAAAGCCGTGCTTTCGTATGTTCTTATGATAAAGACGATCACACGGCATATATTCATGCGATATTATGTAAATCGCGTAAACCAAAATTAAAACCTCATGTGCCTCTGAGAGTGGCTCTTTTGTATGTATTTTGAATTGCTCCATTCCGCCAAAAGAAAAAAAGCCACTGGGGGTCTTCCACTGCGATGAGCCGCGACATGTTCTGAATCTACAAAAACAATGAGCCATTTGTATTGACAGCTATCCACCCATTTCGTCATGTTGTAATGCATCGGAACCCCATTAATGAAAGGTCATCCCACATCTCGTAGCACAAAAAAAGAAAGGTTCCTTTTGATTTTTTCCCATCTCTCCTCCCCCAACATCCAATTTCAGCGCCATGGTGCACCTCAACACCCCTCCACATATTCACATTTCTCTCCAAAAACATGGCGGTCAAAAGGGTCTTGATTTTTCCGTACTTATTTGATCAAGCAAGCCTCTGGACTCACATGCCTCGCTTCTTCACACACTTTTATATTTTTGCTACAGAACAAATAAAGCCTCTCAGGCGGCACACCACTGCCCTCGATCCCCCCTACGATCCCCCTCGTCGTGCCCGTTATTATTGTAATTTCTTAAGAATTAAAAAAAAAAAAAAAAAAAAGTAGGGTTTCTCACACCATATTTTCCGCACGTTGCCTGACGGAGACAAAATTATTCTTCCAGCGAACGCCTTCCGTCCGGCAGCACAAAAGGCGTTGCACCAGGCCCTGGCAGCAACAACCTCGCCTCGCGCCGCTTTGCCAAAAAAAGCGGCTTCAACAGCTGAAAAAAAGACCATAAATCACAATAGCGTCCGCTAGTGTGCGTTATATCAGCGCCCCGTCAAACACCAGAAAAGCATGGCATTCCCCTCTTTTTATGATGATCGGCGTCGTCATATGTACGGGTTGAGAAAATATGCGCTTATTTTAAGTCAATCGATCACGCAAAAGAAAAAAAAAAAAAAAAACTACATTTGCCTTATCCTTGCCTCCAATCCAAACAATAATAAATAATAATAAGAATAATAAATAAATGCGGAATAACTGATCGCATGCAACGTAAGCACAAAATAAGACGATACTAGCAACATTAGTTGCAGTGACATTTCATCTTCATCACAAAAAATCCACTCCGCAAAGTAATGTGCACCAACAAAACCTTTACATTTATACTTCTTGGACCGAGCGTTTCATTTATTTATTTATTGCGCGTCAAACGCCGTTGACGGTGATCAAACCCGCAAAGGCACTCGCGTTGCCCTTCCGTTCTTCTGCCGTCAAAAGAACAGTTGCGCGGTCCCCTGTGGAGCCCGCCAAAACAAACCTCATGTGTGCTCAACCGCAGTAAAGCAATGACCCGCTCTCAAGTTGGGTGACGGTAACCCAATGCCCACGGAAACGGTTGCCTGAGAGGTACGCTGACAGCCCAAACCGCGTCTCAAAGGAAATGAAGTTTTCCAGTAAATCCCGTAAAAGCCTCCATGCCACTTTCGCTAATGAAACGGCAATAAGCCCGCCCAGCCGCCCAACTCCTCGCTGCTCAGCGCAATGAGAATGCCGGTACATTCTCCCATAACGAAGGTCCCCAAGAGAGAGTGACAATGACGACCCCTTTTTGTACTCACATACATACACACAAAACTTCACAGAAAAAAAAAAAAAAAAAAGCAAATCGGTAAACTCAATTATATACATACATATATATAGAAAGATAAAGGTGGATAGAGAGTACCAATCCAATATTTCAGCAGAAAAAAAAAAAAATTCTTTCGAGTGAGCGTTTTGTTTCCACATATCAGAATGTTTTGTGCGCACCCGAGTTCCACCAAAAAAAAAAAAAAAAGAAAAGAAAAGAAAACCAAAAACAAAACTGTACATTCAAATTGCATCACCCTTTACATGGCATTTCCTGCTCTTTCGGTACGTCGAGGCAAACCCAAGATGCATGTTCGACATAATCACGCCTGGATCATTTTCCTTGTGAGAAGAGTACACAAGTTTACGTGCATCTTTGTCCTCCTCCATAATCTCCCTGAGCTCCGGAGGCACTAGGGCATCAAAGTTCGCACGATCCACCACAAAGGCCTCCGAAAGCCCGTAACTCGTCACTGTGGAACTGTACTGCGGCATCGAAGAGGCGTACTCGTAGGCTCCCAAAACCAAACTGAAAAATGCCTTCGTCATGGGCTCCCGTCCCTTGTAAAGCGAGTTGTCGTTTGATCCCGAAATAACTTCCATGGCAGTGACCTCGCCATTGACTGTGATCCGCACTGTATGATGCTCCCCATTTCCCGCAATAATTGTTGTTTCAAACACACCATTATGCAATATAATGAACTGCTTAAAAAGCTGTCCTTGAGCCACAAGTTTCTCGTCATTGAGATAAATTACAGGAAGAGCAGCTTCCCACAATCGGCCTATTAACTGACGTGTGAAACAAAACGTCAGATACGGATCTTTTCTCACGAAAATAGAAGGATTTGTGGGCTTCACCACCTCATTTGCACGTTGGGATTTGGCGGCACTGCGGCAGTATAAAAACGCAGCCGGTTCACTCATTCCAACGTCAATAAGAACCTCGCGGCGCATTCTCCAAATATCGCAGTAATTTTTGCTGATGATAGAATACCTTTTTCTCTCATTAACACTACAGGCGCATTCAAATATCCCTACACAGCTCCCACGCGGTATGGTACGTCGGGTGCCATCCTCCTCCAAGAGGATAGCAACGCCGTCTTGAATAAAATAGGCGGAAGAATCCATATCAGACTTTGAAAACAGAGGATCGCCGTCGTGAAGCACGATGGGCTCGACGGCAGAAATGATTTTATTAAGAGCCTCAACACTGAATTTCTCAAAGTACGGAAATTGGCTAAGAAGCTCAACGCGCAAAGGAAAGAATTTCTGCAAGTTTGCTCTTCGTCGAACGTCAGTCGCTTCTCTTTGTTGACTTGCCACCTCTGGACTCAAATGTTGCGCGACCTCCTCGTAGTCCTCGGGGGAAACAGTCCAGGCACCCACATCGGTTTCACATTGAATGGATGCACTCCGAGGCTCCTTACACACCAAGGCAAATTCTCCCACATAACACGGTGGAGTGAGCGCAAAACATGCCTTACTGCACTCTTTCGTTCGTTTTTTCCCCTTTGAGCGATCATTCAAAATAACACTCACTGAGCCTGTGGTAATCATGTACATGCAGCGGTCCAAGTCTCCCTCATGCATCAAAAACTTTCCTGACTGAAAAAAAAGCGGCTTTGCCTTTCGCGCCAGCATCTCCAAAAGAGGAGATGGCCACCCTTTAAAAAAGGTCCCGTACATGCTACGAATGATAGACGGCGACGGAAATGGTATATTTTCCAAGATTCATTCGAGTTAACTTCTC